CAAAATGTCTTAACGGGTGGTCCATATTGCGCTAACGAAGTTTGCGGGCGACAGCTCGTTTATAATATTAGTAATTTTAGTAAGATTAGTTGTATAATCTGTGAGACTACAGGCGTGAGTTAATCATTTTTAAATAGGCTAGTTTACAAACTACACACGAATCTTGACATCAGCGACTAGGTTCGGAAATTAAACGTCAGATCGACATCAAATTGAGTTTTCCAGTTAGTGATCCGCAGCGGTCTGAAAATTGATCGCAACCCTTTTGTATTGGAAATGGAGCGGAGTGTATCGATTTATTTACTTTAGTCTATGATATTCGATATAGATTTATTAATTGTGCATACTTTTATAACATCCTAGTATAATCAATATATAGAGAGTGAGGCAAGTATTGAGAGATATTCAAAAAACAAGGAGGGGATATGGTACATGGACAATCGGTGTGGAGCTAGGCCTAGGCTTGTATATATCTGGACTGGCGAAGGAATGTGATTCGCCTAGTGACTACAGGTAAAGCACTGTTATATATTTTAATAAGTATGAATGGGAAAATGCCAATAGTACTTATACTTTATATCTAAATTGTTTCACAACGGGCAAACTATAAAATATGTTAAAGTTGGTCTTTTATAGAAAAAGGGAGATATGTAGTGTATGGCCACACTGTTTACTTGTGTCATGGTGTCATGCCAGCAAGTCAGTCGTGTCCGAGCCACCGACAGGAGCAGACGTCCCAAGCATACAGTACACATCGAAATCCGTCAAGCAGCAAGCAAGCAGTTCAGGCTACGAACTCTAACAAACATCTAACAGTAACATTAGTGTGAACTACAGCTGATCATTATATTAACCTTGTTAACTCATTAATTACGTAACAAATAAATACACAAATTGTGTTGTAAAATCATAGCCATTCCGCTCGTGTAGCCTCTGTCTTATAATCGACGTATAACATGTTTAACTTGCTCTGGTAACCCTTTATTAGTTTACAACTTCAATCAAAACATAGTTAGAGTGATTCCTTTCGCTTTCGTAACTTAATACCGAGCCTTCGGACGTGCTAAGTTACGTAATAGTTAAGTTGGAACTTTGTTTACATTACACTGAACTATAACTTAAGCTTTTAAGTAAGGTAAACTTTATGTGGCGGTAATTAATAGGAAGTAGTATTGTAATTTATTTATCTTCAATAAACAAGTAACCACGGCTATACAAAAAGGATAAGCAGTGAATATAGATTTAAAACTACGCTATTCACAAACCTCTATTACTATTTTCGTATCTATTTTCGTATAAGGGGTAGTGGGAAGGGAAAGTAGATTTGACGTTGGAGGAAACAGATAGCCCCTCCCTATATATCCCTAATATTTGTTTTTGAAAATGGAAAGATTTGTATTGGAATAACTCAAAAACTACTGGACCGATATCAAAAATTTTTCACCATTAAAAAGCTACTTTGTCAGTGAGTAATATTTAGTATACTTTTTAATTCCACGTACGTAGTCGCGAGCAACAACTAGTCGTTGTTAAAAATACAGCCGTACGTCCACTGTTAGAAACAGTCCATGTGGACTTGCACAAAGAATTTTCCGTTCAATTTAAATATTCTTTATTCCAATAACGTTTACTTTGAAGACAAACAATTTCCAATACGCATGTTCTGTCGACCGGTAAACACGCAAATATACTTGAATAAACTTACATAGCTATTGAAAAATACTGTTTAGTTAAACATGATTTTTAACTGGCAGCCACTGATGTTACAAAAAAAAATCTTATTAATATTATAAATGCGAAAGTTTAGATGGATGTTTCTAGCTTAAACGACTAAACGGATTTCGATGAAATTTGGCATAGATGTAGAGCATAGTCTGGAAGATCACATAGGCTACTTACTTTTATTTTTTTTAATTCCGCGTAGAAAGCTAATAAATCTTACTAATGTAATAAATTTGAAAGTTTAGATGGATGGATGTTTGTTAGAGTTTGTAGCCAAAACGGCTGAACGGATTTCGATGAAATTTGGCATAGATGTAGAAGGTAATCTGGAAGAATACATAGGCTATTCACTTTTGTTTTTTTAATATCACGCGAACGGAGTCGCGGGCGAAAGCTAGTAGTAAATAATAAGATACGTTTAATGTATAATTTCCATGTGACGAATTCATTTAATATATTACCCAAAAACGAATCTTATAAAGCACGTACAAACTCCATTAGGAAATTAAATGTCAGCGAAACAACAAATTGAGTTTTCCACTTCGCAGTCCGTCACTTTAGACATTTAAACAGATTGTGGGCTCTGTTAGCTTTGAATGGATGGTTTGAGATGTGGAGATTATAGCTTTCGAAATCTACATGCAAATACACATCTAAAACTTCAGAGTTAAACATTACTACGCCTAGTTTGAGCTTGGATCAGGACTGTCCAAATCAGATAGGACCCAGGCCTAATAGTATAACTAAATACGTTAAGAGTCTGTATAATTTAAAGGAAAAAAATACAGGTATCATTATTTTATTATTTACTTTTTAATTACTTTTCATTTGTAACAACAAATTTATTCCAATAATTTGCTTATATGTTTATTAAAGTATAAAATAATGGTCTTAAAAATCAGAAGAGCTTCAGTATTTCAGCGAGAAATTAAATTGCCCGTGATATTGAGTTACGGCCCATAATCGAAAGTATGTGCGTGGAATAAACAAAATATACGGCTTTTAAAACCTTTAAATCTTAAAAGGTTTAAATGTTTTAACACTGTACAATGACAAAGGAAATTTTATATAGTTACTCTTTTGTATGAAATTTCCAAATATACTACTCCGGCTTTATGGTTTCCTTTAGATTTCGTAATTTGATGACCCGAATGTCGGGTGATTGCAGAAATATCGGTAACTGTGTCTGTCTTTGATTGCTGCCAAGACATCTTTTCAGGGCTGCCAGCTCAAAAACTCGAATTACAATACCAATTAAAAACAATTTCAAATGTTGCCAGCACACAAAATAATTATTTGATAGTAACTTTATTCGTTCAAAACCAATCGTTTGCGCCGTTAGATATAAAAAGGTAGTCACATGAAGTCTATCGCGAGTCTAAAGTCCTAATAAGGTATGAACTCTTTAGTATCCAGAAAAATACCACGAGGAAATGTAAGCCTGTTCTCTCGATGTAAATTTAATGCAGTGAATAGCTAAATTATGTTCGGTCGGACGAATATTTCATGAACCCTTTTAAATTAAATTAGCAATTTTACTTTTAAAAGTTTGCTATTGTTTTTCTTAAGGATTCATAGGTAATTTTATAATAATAAAAACAAAATACTTAGGTTTTAATGAATTTAAAAGTAAGAAAAATAAATTGACTACACTCCTATGACACTTATTAGCAAGTTGTAAATTAGTAAGGTTGTAGATGCCAAATGAAATAAAGCTTTCTATTCACATTCTTGCGTACTCGTATATAACATGAAAGCTTTTACCTGTCGTGTACATAATATACGTATGTTTAGAATTATAAAACGACGATCCGTCAGAGCCTCGCTACAAGCACTTTACGCAAACCGCGAAAATCTTTCCAAATGAAAAGAAAATTAGGTTATTTTTTATGTGAAAAACTTCGCCTCAAAATAAAGTCAAATCAGATTACGTAAATATAAATGGGGCCTCAGAAATGTTGGAACAATTAGTCCGTGAGAAAACAAATTAAGTTTATATAACAACATTTCTTGTTGACTTTATCTAAATTAAAATTAAGATATTCTGAATATAGATTACCAAGAAAACTTACGTCGAATATTAAAATTTTGCTACAATATAATTACATTTTGGTATCCTAGTTTGAAATCTGCAAGACGAAATGTTATTCATACTTGATTTATACCTGAGACTATTGAATAGTTAAAATTATATTATAAATCATTGCTACATCTATTATGTCAGGCGCTTTTATATTTTTGTAACCCTACATCTATGAGTACATTTGTTTTTAATAATTACGAGCAGTTAAATTAAAACTTATTTAGACCTTATATTCATTGATATAAAACAACAGTAGTGTTGTATAAAATTGATCGTGAACCCCGATGGGGATTAAACTTTGCGTCTGCATGAAATTTAATATTTTCGCTATGAATAATAAATTTATTCATCCCAGTCTGTTGTTTTATGTTTGCTTAGAATTTTATCTACATTGTTTAAGTTTCAAACCTTTATTAATTTGCATGCTACAATAAATTTCATAAAATTTAACCAAAAAATTGTTTATGTTAATACAAACAACAATGTTACGATTGTTAATGACTCTAGGAATTCAACACAAAATGAGAATATTATCAATGAATAAACAATGCAAATTTTTAATTCTTTAAAATGGAGCAACAACCGAAAGAGTTCACGTATTGATAAGCCAAATACATTTTATTAATGTACTAGCTTTCGGCCGCGATTCCGTCCGCGCGGAAATTAAAAAAACAAAAGCAAGTAGCCTATGTGTCCAGACTATCCTCTACATTTATACCAAATTTCACATTTATCTTTTTGACTGAAATGGAATGAAACTAAAAATCAATTTTGGTAATTATTTTATTAAAATAACATTAAAGTAAATACAAACAAACACATTTATGTAATGAAACTCAAATAAATTGATAACTGAAATAATATGAAAAATTGTACATCACTAGCTTTTACCCGCGACTCCATCTGCGAGAAATTAATAAAACAAAAGTACCTAAGTAGCCAGTGTCTTCCAGACTATCCTATATCCTATCAGCAGTTTAGGCTACAAACATCCGTACAAACTTTCACATTTATAATATTAGTAAGATTAAGGGCCTGTCGCACCAAATTTTTAAATTGTCTGATAACAATCTAACATGTAAATTACGTGATGGAAATATCGGATTTTGTTGCCTTATCTAACAGTGACAACATTTAAGGTATCTGACCCTCTATCAGCCAGTGGTGGGACAGGCTCTAACACAAAACTTATTCTTTAGTAAAATTTATGTTCAGATAGCGCATTAAGTCCAGATAATAATAAACCTCCATCAATCGCATAATCAGAACCCGTTATACCACTAGCTTTATCACTGGCTAGAAACAAAGCCAATTCTGCAACCTCCTCTGGCTCTAACACACGCTTCAAAGGTACAACATGAGCACAAGCCATCAAAGCTGCATCAATATAATTTTCATTTATACCAGAATTCAATAAAAATGGAGTCTTCACATATCCTGGAGATATACAATTGACTCGTACACCTTTCTCAGCTAATTCTAAAGCCGCTGATTTAGTAAAATGTGTCAATCCAGCTTTAGCTACGTTATAAGGTATCATGTACTTCGTTGTTAAAGTCGCACAAATACTGGAAATGTTTATTATATTCCCTTTAGTTGCAATTAGCTGCGTTGCAACGGAATTGGTCATAGCAATTGTTGTTCTCAGATTTATTGCTATTGTTTCATCAAATTTCTGTAATAAATCAACATCTAAAATACTTCCAGAACCACAAATTCCAGCGCAGTTGATAACTACGTCTATTTTATTGAATTTTCTCACTGTACTGTCTATTGAACTTTTAATATCTTCGTCGTTAGTTAGATTCGCTACAACTTTGTGTACTTCGACTGTCTCTGACTCGCATGCTTTTGCGGTTTTGTCTAAATTCTCTTCGTTTATATCGATTAGGGATAATTTAACTGATTCTTTAGAAAACCCTTTAGCGATAGCTTCCCCTATACCTGAACCAGCGCCGGTTATTAAAATTACTTTGTTCTCAAAACTCATTGTGAATATCGAGTACGTGTGTATATTGTAAACGTTTTAAATTGCTAACTATTATGTTTGTATTAAATACTCATTGTATATCTTATTTGTGAAATAATTAGAGTAACCGTGTTATTTGATGAATAAAAAAAAAACAAATTGGTTAAAAAATTGATAAGAATACTAATATTATAAATGTGAAAGTTTGGATGGATGTTTATTAGAGTTTGTAGTAAAGGCTGAACAGATCTGGATGAAATTTTTCATATATGTAGAGGATAGTCTGAAAGAATGCATAGGCTACTTTCTTTTGTTTTCATTAATCCCACGCGGACGGAGTCGCGGGCGGAAGCTAGTCTGTACTAATATTATAAAGATGAAACTTTGTGCTTATTTGTAAATAATTAACTCATAAACTATTTGGCCGATTTAAATTCTTTCACCGTTAGAAAGGTAATTTATCTGTGAGTAACATAGGCTATGTTTTATATTATTTTTTTAATTTCACGTAGACGGAGTTGCGGGCGAAAGCTAGTTTTTCATATATGAAAATGAATTGATTACAAATTGAGTGTAATTAGTTTATTATCAAGTTAATATGTTAATTGCTTGTTTGTATCTTTTTTCACGCTTATATTTTTTTTTATAGGCATAATTTGTCACACATCCAGAGTCTAATATGTTGTTAAAACGCTGTCTAAGTTCTTTAAGACTTAACTCTTAAATGCATGATTTTTTTAAATACCCTAAATTGAAACGGGTAGTAAATTGAACATAGATCAAGGGAAAAAAGTTTTTTTTTTTAAATAATCTATTGGTTGTGGAAGAGAAGACTGTACTTTATTTTACATCTATACAAATATTATGAAAAGGAAAGATTTGTATTTTTGTATGTGCTCAAAGAATTCAAAAACTACTGGGATGATTTCAAAAACTCCCCCACCTTTAAAAAACTACGCTATCAATTAGAAGCAAAGGCAAATGTTTTTTACTATTTTATAAAATAACGCAGACAATGTCGCGAGAAACAGCTATCACAATACAATTATTAATTATAAAATACAATTCCTCGTTAATATTAAAAACGGAAGTGGTCAACGTGTTTGTTTTGACTTCGTTTTGAATTTCCGGCTAACAAAAGATATTAAATATTAAAAAAATTAATCCACAGAGCACTTTTTCCGCAAACAGAAATTTCCTCTCTCGTCTTTTATAAAATGTTTTACAAAATGGACTAAGTAAATGAAAGGGTATTTCAAGTCTTATACAAATGTAAACTCCACTTGAACTTAGTAAAGAAATTTTAATGTAAATCAACTTTATGAAGTTAAAAAGATTGTTTATATTCAAAAGAACTACGTTCCAATTATTTCAAACTGAACCCAACGACATCTATCTTCTTAAAAATGTATTACTCACATACTAACTGTGACGTGCGACTTTGTCTGAAGGGAATTGAAAAAAAAAACAAGCCTATATCCTAGTCCAGACTCAGATCTGCCTTTGTTCCATATTTCATGCAGATCTCTTCAGCCATTTTGTAATTACATGGTAACAAACATCTATATGTTGAAAAGCTCGCATTTATAATGTTAGTAAAATTGGTTTCCCACTCACATTTTCTTTAAAAATAAAAAAAATGAAAACTATATTTTTATATAAATCGTTTGATAGTTAATGTAAGAAAACAAGAATGGCATCAAAGTTATTTTGAATAACTTAGTTCCTGTTACAACTTAACAAGTTCAATCGAACCGGATATCAAGTTATACATCTTGTTTCACGTGGGTCGTATTAACTTAAGACACACTTAGAAGATTCCCTATAACTTTAAAGGCGCCTAGAAGTTGTGGGACATGTAACTTACCGTTAATATTTGGGAAGCTTAGAACAACTTTAAGGCGTTTCATGTTAGTATAGTATTTTTAGAATTCGTCAAAATGGCAAATCGACAATCGACAGAGAAGTTAACGCGAGGTAAGAAGGTATTTCCTCTATCTATACATACAGTCCCTTTCCCTTCCGATTTTTTATTAAAAAATAAGGACTATGTTACTCACTGACATGGTAGCTTTTTAATGGTGAGAGAATTTTTAAAATCGACCCAATAATTTTTGAGATATTTCAATACATACTAAAATACAAGTCTTTCCTCTTTATAATATAAGGTATAGATATACAACTTCAGAATGGCTGACCTAAGCTGGAAGTAATTTAGAACAGAAATAAACCACAGTCTGGATTAGCACATAGGATATATATCTTTGAATAAACTATCGCACAACTGTTAGCGATTGTCGATTGTTTCGCAGCCAATTCAACAGTTTAGTTGCACAGGTAAGTAGTGTGTGCACCTCACATAAGTTCATAAGAAACGAAGCGAGACTAAACAGTTGTCCGTTAGTTGTCAAAGGTGTAGCACGCTCTAACTGATATAGATTAAAATGCCTAATTCGCATCGTAAATTCGAAGTATCAATTCTTTTTAAATCTTCTGAACTCAAGCGTAGTTTTTTTTCGCTCCTAAATTCAATTACGGTCTGACACTGGTCGAGAGATATATTGTGGCAGGGACAATAGAGCACAGCTTTTCACATGATATTTAGAAATGCGATCGAAGGCCAATGAACTAGCCTTTGTTAAGATAAAAAAGGCAATTTGATATTATCTCTACAATCTAGAGACGAATTATATATAACTGTTGCTCGACTCCGTCCCCGGGAATTAAAAAAATGAAAAAAATTATATAAGCTATGTTACTCTACGATAAAGTAGCCTTTTAATGGTGAAAGAATTTTTTAAATCGGCACAGTACTTTTTGAGTTTTTTCATAACAGACAAAAATGCTAATCTTTCTTCTTTACAAAATTACCAGCTTTTACTAAACTTCATCTGAAATTAAAAAAAATTTTCAATATAGCTTATGTTACCCAATTATATTGTAAAAGTTTTATGTAAAATTTTTTTAGTTTATTTCTTTCATATTAATCTTTCTTTTTTTATGACCAGATGTCAATTTTCTTCTTTACATGCATACATTTAAAGAATACCCATATATTAGTTGTGCAAACACACAACATAGAAATGTATGAAGAAAATGTACACGTAACATGAAATAGGTCACGCTATCTCGGAACGGCTACGGTCTTTGACTGTTAAGTGACAGGACTTGTCAAGTGCGCGATATCGAAAAATCTCATAATAAAATCTAAACATGCTTGCAAGCTTTGATATAAGCTCCTCATAAAATATGGCAGTACAACGTTTTACAATTGCGCTTATTTGCCTAGTCCTTTTTTCTATAGTCAACGTATATAGTACACAAGTACTTGGAGGTAATCTCCAGTTGGAACGCAAGGAACGAGCTTAGCTACGAGTACCTGCATCCCACAACTGTACAAAGACAAAATTAATTAAATTTATTTCAACAGAATAGTTTTCATTTATTTTGCTACAAGACTTTTTTGTGATTCCAACTCGAAAACGGACATTTCCCATTTCACTCCCATGCCAAATCCAAGTTCCCTTCCCATCCTTTGAAAAGGAAAGGGTTGGAGAAAGAAGACTAAAATTAGGTTTCCGACTAGCATTCTTTTCAGAAGACAAGAATAACTTCGATGTCACTCTCGGCTATTGCATTGCAGACTTTACTACTGTTAATATAATACACATATAGGTGTATTCAGTGATAGAAACACGGTTAATAAACACGACAGAGCGGAGCTGACATAAGGAAATAGATTCTAGAAACTTCTTACTAAATTATAAATGCAAAAGTTTAAATGGATGGGTGATAGATTTTATAGCCTAAACTGTTGAACCTCAATCTCAATAAAATTTGGCATGTAGAGGATTATCAGAAAATACACATACTACTTACTTTTGTTTTTTTTTTAAATTCCACACAGACAGAGTCACAGGCGAGAGGTAGTTATAGTTGTAAAAGCAAAAGTTTGGATAGACGCATGTTTGTCACTACGGGTACTGATGTACATAGTCTGGAAGAACACATTTTTGGGTAACTGACGTTACACGGATGAAGTCGAGTGCAAGTGCTAATTGTCAATAAAGTTCAATTTTAAATCGAACGCGTTAAACGAAATTAATATGATCCGATGAAATGCTTTATATAAAGAGATTTAAACTCTGAAAGCCGGATCGTATGTCTTATTTATTCGTTGCAGTAAAATTTCGATTATCGACTTTCCAATCTCACAGACAATTTAACTGGCCGATGAAATATCGAAGAGCTACTGAATTTTAAAATAGATTATTCCTTACCCATTAATTTTGATTGTATTATTATAGACTTTTCACGAAGTTAATTTGATTTTCTACTATCGTTTTTCATTTTTCTCCTTATTCTTTGTGTACGTTAAAAGCGACTTTTATGGTTAGTTTCTTAACAAATTTACATTTGATATAAACATTCTAAATTCGATTAGTTTTATATAAATTATCCAATCGTTTAGATTAAAAAGACAAAAACTGGAAACTTTTCAGTTCATAAAACTATCCGTTTACACTGAGCATGTGTAGTTTTAGTGTGTAGTGTGTAGAGGAACTTTAAGAGTAGCCCCAGTGTTTGAAAGAATAAGGAGTAATAGGTTAGCGTGGTATGGGCATGTTATGAGAAGGGATGAATCGACGTTAGTTATGAATGTTGAGGTACACCGGTAGCTAGTAAGAGATGGATTGCGTGAAAGGTGACATGATCAAGAAGGGAGTGATGTCTGAGGTGACGGATGATAGAGTTATTTGGAGGACGAAAACATCGCGCGCCGACTCTACGGGAGTATAAGGCAGGGGAGATGATGACTGAGCGTGTGTGGCTTTATAAAACATACCAAACATCTCAAAATTATTTCAGCAACAATAAAAATAAAATCTGATTTAAATAATTTTAATAGCAATAAATAAGAAATAACTTAATAAAAGTTAAGGAAACAGAACAAATCATTAGTTTCGATAATTATTTAGCGAAGGACAATAAGTCCGTTTAGAAGCATGCCACCATCAACTACATAGTCTGTACCCGTTATATTCCTTGCTTTATCACTTGATAGATACAAAACCATATCTGCTATTTCTTCAGGCTGTATCATAGATCCTAGAGGTGTACTATCAACACACGTATCCAAACACATTGAGATTTCTTTCTCATTTAAACCGGAACTCTGGAATATATTCGTTTTAACAACTCCTGGTGATATACAGTTCACTCTAACTCCTTTATCTGCTAATTCTATAGCTGCACATTTAGTAAAATGCAACAATCCTGCTTTAGAAACACTATACGGAATATTATACTTTGTTGTGAGTTTAGCTGATACACTGCAGATGCTAATCACTGAACCTTTAGCTTCAATTATTGCGTTAACAGCACAATTAGTTAACGCAACAATAGATCTTAAGTTAACAGCTTGAATACGATCGTAGATCTTCATTAAATTTTCACTTTCTATGTTCGATGGCATATACGTACCAGCACAGTTAACAAGTATATCCAATTTTCCATACTTTGCTATAGTCTCATCAAAGATTCGTTTAATATCTTCATCTCTTGCTAAATCAGCTACTACTTTTAATACTTCGTTTGTTTTACATATTTCGGCAGTTTTGTTTAAATCTTTTTCATTTATATCAACTAATGAAAGTTTAGCGGATTGTTTTGAAAACGCTATAGCAGTTGCAGCTCCGATTCCGGAACCAGCGCCAGTAATTAACACCACTTTATTACAAAAACTCATTTTTATTATAAATTTTTAATTCAATGCTTCAATACAAGATCTTTTTGTTACAGTTGCGTATGCAATACAAGCCTTTCGTTCCGTATTGTATACTTATAGCGCTTATAATCGCAACATAAAATTGCAATCTTCTTTTTATTGTTTTAATGATACTCTGCATTTTTATTGCTAAAGATCAACGTACGATGTGCAAAAGCAATGTGTTTTTGTTATTTTAAAATACGTCTCCTTTCAGCTTGATTTATTTATAACTGTTGTAGATGTTGCCTGCGACATCGGCCACGCAATATTAAGATAATAAAGTTGTGTATGTCAGCTACCTTTCAGTGAAAGTCCGGTCGATATTAGTCCGTTTTGGAGATTACCTGGAACAAACGCGGCTTGCGGACAGACAGACAACAAAAATTTAAATACAATTTTCGTTATCAGCAACGCAAATACACTATCTTCCCGAAATCTTGGATTATTCTTTTGATATTACAGACACTCCAATTTTATTATATGTGTAGATTTATGAATAATTAAATAATAGGTTGCAACAGTGGTAGTGTCCACGGAATCTACAATCAGGCCTAGAAAGGTCTATAATCAGTGCAATATCACAACCACAATTCCGTGTTCCATTTCATTAGTGTGTTCCGGTGGCCAAATTCTAATCTCCTATCAATCCTTTCTTTAGTAGTTGTTCTAGTTAGGTGGTAACGTACAGTGAATGGAAATTTATTTCTCTGCGTTCACTTGCATTTTTTTAACTTCTTGTAAATATTTCAAGTATTCACTTTGCATTTTTGTCTTGCTTCTTCCCCACTTGTGAGTATAAATAAAAATTACTGATACTTTATCTTAACGGTTATACCTGTATTATCAGTGTTATTTAGAACGACGTACCGTGTTTTTATCACATGCCTTACATGCCAATAACAAGACTTAAAAGAAATATTTCTTCAGTCTTAACTTTTTTTTCAATACATGCAAAGGAAAACATCGTGATGCAACCTTTTTTTTGTTACCCGACGGGATGATACTGCAAGGGATACAACCCCATAATGAGGGGCATACCCACTAAACCCCTCGGTTCCTCCAACGACTTAAGCCGGGCACGCTGCGCTTACGTCCGAGACCCCGGCCTGCGTCTGCTGCCATTGGCAGCTCCTTGAGTGGGGGTAGGTTCGTCCCTAAGCCTAAGGCGGTAGATTTCCCTGAATCTGCCGCCCTGCGGCTATAGACGAAGAGGAGGCGAGAACGGCGGCACATTGCCGCCTTCTCCTCCCCACTCTTCTACGTCGAAACGGGGGCGCGAGGGGATCTTCTTCGCGCTCCCGCTCCCTTTCCTCCTTCTGCGAAATCACTGTTTCGCAGGAGGAAACCGCTTCCCACGACCTCTCACTCTCCAGCATGGCGTGAACCACGTCGGACAGTGAGAGGTCCTCTCCGATCGTGATCCAACCTGCTCATGTAAGGAATTCAAAAATGTGTGTAAAAGCAACTAAGCAACACTGGCCCAGTAGTCGTCTAAGACCTAATCGCATCTATACAAGATATGTGGGAGCCTTTTAGTTTATAATTTGAGTTAAAAACAATTTATAATACTTTATCCTAATAATTTAAAGGCGAAAGATTAGATCGATGTAGCCTAAACTGCTGAACGGATCTTGATGAAATGACATATAAGTAAAACATGATAGATAAATAAAACATGGGAGAACACATAGGCTACTTACTTTTGTGTTTTTTACTTCCACACAGACAGAGTCGCAGGTACAAAATAGTTATCTAATATTTTGTGAACAGTCTTAGGACACTCTCTGCGTAAATAGACTTTTATAGCAGTTTTCTTACAACTTATGGTCTGTTAAAACCACATAATACAGTTTATGGTCAGTTGGATTGACTTGGATTTCAGATTATGAGTATGACATAAATATTGACAATTATAATTCTTATGCTAGGATTCCACGGTAATCAGGTACTAACGTTAAAGTCCGACGACACATTTTGCAGTCTGCATCAGATTGCACAGAATGGAAATCCACCTTTAATAGTTAAGCAAACAGCCATAAAGAATCGTTATGGTTATGATGGATTCCTTAATTTTGGGATAACTGAAGGAATGAAAGCATAATAGCTCTATATGTCATTTTCATTCCTAACACGGGATTACAAGGACCTTAGTGAGAATGTTTAGTGAGCTAATGATTTCGTTTTATTGGTCAGACAATCTTGTTTTGCAAACGATTTAATTGTAATCGAAAATCGCATTGGTACAGCGGCATTCGAACCCAAAACCTGTAGATTACAAGTCAAATGCTTAAACTACTGAGCTACCGACGCTCTTATTCCAATTAAAAGTTGTGTTACGTTAGGTTACATCTCACAAGCTTTCGCCTGCGACTCCGTCCGAGTAGCATTAAAAGAAACAAGTAGCCTATGTGTTCCTCCAGACTAACTCCTACGTGTATGCCAAATTACCTTAAGATACGTTCAGCCGTTTAGGCTACAAACTCTAACAAACATCCATCCATCCATCTAAAATTTCGCATTTATAATATTAAATATGATTGTGTTCGTATATTTATATTTCATTTCATTCATTTAGTTATGACCTAATCTAGGGAGATTATTTCTGGTGACTAGCCAGATTGTTCCGAGGCGCAGCATTAAACGTCCGAGTTGTCTAAAGTTATGAAATGTTAAAGCCTTACTAGACTTCTAGACTGATATACAAAATCAGGCTTTATTGTTGCATTATTTTGTTATTATAAAATGTTACCAGTTTGTATTCCAAATCATACTAATATTAAAAATTCGAAAGTTTAATAGTGGTAGAGCCCGGTTTCAGTCGCACGAATGGGTCGGCTCGCCCGGTGAAATACCACCACCACACAGAAAACAGGCGTGAAGTGGGAGTAATTCCGCGTTTCGTCTGATGGTGCCGGAGGCTTAATTTCGTCCCTTTTCCTTTCCTCTCTTTTCGGATTTGATAGGGACGGTTAGGAATGGGAAATAGCCTGTTTATGTGTGTCTCCTCTTCCGTCGATTAAGGGATAGCAACGCATCTGCAATTGCGGATGTCTATAGGCAGCAGTTGCTTTGCCATTTCGGCGGATTTAGGTGGCTGATGTTTAGAGTTTAAAGCTTAAACGACTGAATGAATATGGACAAAATTCGGAATAGATGTAAAGAATATTGTAAAACAATACATAGACTTCTTACTTCTGTTTTTTTTTTTTTAATTATTCTAGGACGGAGTTGCGGTAGAAAGCTATCATATCGTGCTAATATTATCAATACGAAAGTTTAGATGGATGGATGTTTGTTAGAGTTTGTAGCCTAAACTGCTGAATGGATTTCGATGAATTTTGGCATAGATGTAGAGGATAGTCTGAAATAATACATAGGCTATATAGTTCTTTTTTTTTTTAAATCCCATTAGACAGTTGCGGTCGAAAACTATTTATTAAATAAAAATCACATTTACAGTATTATTCAAATATGTTCTAAAATCAGAATGCGTTATCCCCTACGGTCTATAATTCCCTGTATTCAAATTAAGTTATCACATATTCAAATGAATCTCATCCCAGAAATGGTTTATCGTTTAAAACATCAAACCCTATGGTAATTTGCGTGCGATGTGTTTGTATGAAGTTTGATTATTAACTTCATAAGTGGGGCAAACTACGAATAGATAAACAGAAGTGCCAGTTAATGCGGATAGCACGAACATTTTCATTATATGTTTTATGCTTATTGTACAGCAACAAGAAATAAACAAATTTAGATTTTATTCTTTTAAATTTTCGTGTTATCCCTGTTGCATATTTTCCGTTCTACTTAGGATAATATTACTGGAAAATTTGTCGAACTCAAAGACGTTTTATAAATAAAATATTTGCTAAAGGAGACCGCGTGACCGGCTTCTTTAATGAGGACCCAATTAATAGGCACACAGAGGTATTTAAGACAATCTTATTAAAAAGTAAATAATTTAAAGATACGCTTATAATATAAAGTGTAAACACACACTACTTTGTGGCGTGAGATGTCAGCAATCACAGCATATTTTTGATTAATTATTTCTTTAATAAAAAGCACTACAAAAACGATACGCTTTAGGCTGTATATTTTCATGTTATTAAACTTAGGGGGTAAATAAATTGGAAAAAATCTTCATGTGGGAAAGGGACCATAAACTACAAGCTGCCAACATTAAGGAAGCGAGGTTAATGTGGCAATGGTAATGGTAAACAACTTAAAAAAGTTTTTATAATTTCATGCGGATGAAGCCGCACGGGAACAACTAGTGCATTATAAATAATAAAATCTACAATTACTTTTTCACTTTAAGTTGAAACAAAACGTTGTAGACATCGTTTTTCTCGTTTATTCAACAAAAATCCGTGAAGTCAAAGCAAATGCATTTGCATAGAATAAATAAACACACTGTATACCTGCCGAACTAAAAATTACAAGCAAATAGCAACCTTATTGCTTTAGTTAAAAAGTCCTGTATTATTTGCGGACCAGTAGAACAGAAACAAAAGGCGTTCCAGCAAAAAGTCGACCATTTTCTCTTTTGTTAAGCTTTTGTAAGGTAAAAGATATCTAGTGCTATCAAGATGGACGAAGTTTCTGAAATAAAACGAACAATATTTATGAAACTTAATTATTCATTTACTTATTAATTAAACGGCGCCAATTTGAAATATTACGACTTACTATGAATCCTGTTTCTATCTAAACCACATAGTCCTGTGGATATCCACATGTTAGCCGGCAAGACTGACTGTCGATATCTTAAAAGCTGTCTAAAGTTGCACACTGTTCACTTAATTTTGAAGTGTAAAAAAAATGTATATATTCTGTTTTGTCACTAATATCATTTAAGAAACTTACTAACAATGTTATGTGCTGATTGTACGCTTGAAATAAAAGTTATTGTTATTATTATAAACCTAAGTGAAAGTCTTGAGAATGATGTATTTTATTTTATTGCCAAGGCTTTATAATAGACACTAACTAATATGACTAGGTTTTACATGACATCTAACACGTTTATTAGCGACTAGCTGTTGCTCGCGACTTCGCCCGTGTGAAATTAAACAATCTAGCCTATGTTACTCACAGACAAATTACCTTTCTAATGGTGAAAGAATTTTTGAAATTGGCCTAGTAGTTCTTACGTTAATCGAATACATACAAAAATACAAATCATACCTCTTTATAATAGTAGTATAGATAGCGGAAGAGAAAGAAGGTGCAGCTTTTTTATCCACGAATAAAAGAGCGTCGGTTGCTCAGAGGTTTTAGCACTTGACTTGTATTCTACAGGTCTTGGGTCCCGCTGTACCAATGTGATTTTCGAAATTTTATATGTACATAATTTACCTGACGTTGTTACGGTGAAGGAAAACATCGTGATGCCTGCACATATCGGCGAAGAAATTCAAAGATATGTGTGAAGTCAACCCGCAGTGGGCCCGCGTGGTTGACTATGGCCTTGTCATCTAACTAAAGGTAGGCTCCGAGCCACTCGGTGGGGACGTAGTATAGTGAGTTGTACATGATGATCCATAAATAAATAACGAGAAGCGACTTCGGTATATAAATAGATGAACCAGGTTAATTCTAAGTTTCTTATAGACGAATTTTATTGGACAATAGACAAAAATGTACTTTAATTGTATGACTAGCTGTTACTCTCGACTTCGTCTGAGTTAAATTAATAATTTATGAAAATTACAGTCTACGTTAAGCATTGATAACGTAGCTTTTTAATGGTGAAAGAATGTTCGAAATCGGATCAGTAGTTTTTGAGTTGTTTACATACGAAAATATAAAAAAAAATCTCTTAATAATATTAGTATAAACTAAAATATATTTTTATTTATAAATGATTTATACATTTTAAAGGTTTAACATATTAGGTAATTCCTTGTATTTGTATTCTCCATGTATAACCTAAATAAACTTTCCATCCGCCTCGAGGGATCATGTGAAATTTAAATTCAAATAACGGACATTTACGCAACGGAAACTTTACGTAAAAGCTCTCTTATTCAAAGCTTATGAAAATATTGTTATCGAACAATGTAAGGGATATGTAAAATATTCTGCCAAAAGACGTTTACTTCGGTCCTTTGTAACTTCTTTAACTTGAGGCTAAGCTCACCTTGAGTTTACTTATTTTATCTTAAGTCAAGAGTTTGCGTAAACGAAAATACACCTTGATGCAAAACAATAAGGTATAAATTTCTAACGCCAGCAGTTCCTTTAAATCTTTGAACAATTCAACAAGACTTTTCAATACGTCAATATTTGAGTAGCTTGGTGACGATTTTTTAAATTCTGTTCTTGGTACAGTTTGCAAATTATAATAGGTTTTAGAAACATCTAGGTTTCACTTATTTAAAATCTTAAATAAAAAGTAACACTTTCATTTTATAATAGCAAAACAGCGAATGTAAAATTCAAAAATGTTGCAATTTTAAATTTAGAAAAATGAGACAAACGGCGTAATTACATAAGCGTCTGGATTGTAATCATAAACGGGGACACGGCTTGAAGCTTTAAGCGACACTACCGCCTACGGTCAAACATCAGACGCTCGAGATGAGGATCGCTTAACCTGGATTACATGCTAACTATGAACAATCTTTCACAGAGAAACTGACTAGGCAAAGAGTCGCCGTTGGACGTCAAACAAGTTCCAACTTAGCTATAGCAAAAAACATTAGTCATAGATCTAAAATTAATATATCTTTATCTATACAAAAAGTGTTATCGCTGATATCTATAAAGAAATACTTATAGATAGAATATAAACTTTAATACTCTACTATCTATTCCCGTGCGGTGTCTACTGCATATTATAAAATCAAATATCGAAAATCCAATGCTTAAATGACAACGAAGGCCTCTAAAATTGGCTAACAATTACCGTTATCATGACAACCTTGCTTCTTTGCTGCTATTAGCTTGTAGGTTTTGTCCCTTTCTTGTATGACAGTTTTTTCTTATTTAATAAATGGTGTGGCCCTATCGTATCGTAAGAGAGAGTTTTATATATTTTTTATATTACAAGGTGGCATACGAGCAAGCGGCCACCTGCATCCACCGAAATTGAAAGCGACCGCTTCCTGTAGACATTCACAATTGTAAATGCCTACCCTTAATTGACAGACGAGGATAAAAAAGGACATTACCCCTTCATATGTCTCCTCCACCGTCAAATCCACATTTCCTTCCCATCCCTTCCTTTTAAGAAAAGGGTGGAAAGGAAAAGGGACTAAATATTAGGCCTTTGGCACCACACTCATCAGACGAAACGTGTTTCGAAGGCGTGAAGTGGGAGTAATTCCACGGAATTGCTCCCACTTCACGCCTGTTTTCTGTGTGATCGTGGTATGGCACCTGGCGAGCCGGCCCATTCGTGCGAAGATGTTAAAGCTGGCTCTACCCCTGTCATAACTGTATATTAAAATAATATTTGTTCAAAAACATGCTGTGATGTTTACATCCTACGAAGTAGTGTGTGTTTATTGTATTAGTATAGGTATACATGACAGTCTTTAGAAGGTCGTTGCTAAATCATGTTGCCTTACTGGCAAAAACGAATGATGATTTGTTATTTTTTTAACATCGCGCGAATCATTTTTATCTAAAAAGTCGCATCATCATACCAACTTATCTTTAAAGATAATTTTATATAAAATGTAAACAGTCGTACAAGATTATTCCCTGTTCAGTATCAAAACGATTAGGTCGTTTAAAATGAGTTTTGTTAATAAAGTTGTTTTAATAACCGGTGCTGGTTCAGGAATCGGTGCTGCTACCGCGATAGCGTTCGCAAAACAATCAGCAAAATTATCCCTTGTTGATATCATTGAAGAAGAATTAAATAATACTATCGAAGTGTGTAAAAATGGAAGTGAAGTATTAAAAATTGTTGCTGACCTTACACGAGATTATGAAGTGAAACGAATCGTTAGTGATACTATTAAAAAATTTGGTAAAATAGATGTATTAGTTAATTGTGCTGGTATATACTTTCCAGCTGGTATATTAGATGATAAATTAATAGATAAATTTGATAAAATAATTGCAGTTAATTTAAGATCTGTGGTAGCTTTAACTAATAATGCTGTACCAGCGTTAATCGAATCTAAAGGTTGTGTTATTAATGTTTGTAGTATTCTAGCGAAGTTTACGACTAAACAAAACCTAGCTTATAGTATATCTAAGGCAGCTGTATTACATTTCACGAAATGTGCTGCTTTAGAATTAGCTGAGAAAGGTGTTAGAGTGAATTCAGTTTCACCAGGAGTGTTGAAGACGAAACTACAAATTCGTGCAGGAATATCTGAAAGTCAGGTTAACGCTGGATTGGATTTCGTTGCGAATAGTACACCTTTGAAGAAATTGATTGAACCCCAAGAAGTAGCAGATGTGATACTATTCTTATCAAGTGATAATGCAAGAAGTATAACAGGATCGGATTATGAAGTCGATGGAGGATTGTTACTTAGTGGGTTACCGAGCAATAATTAAAAAAATACAGTAAACAAAATCATACTATAGTTGTCTCTGTTAAGAGAACGAAAGAGACGATATGACGATTATGATAGAAAACTGTAATTGCTAATTTTTCTTTGTATACTTTACTAGCTATCACCCGCGACTCTGTCCGCGTGGAATTAAAAAAAAAACAAAAGCGAATAGTCTATGTGTTCTTCTAGACCATTGTCTACATGTATGCCAAATTTCATGGCGATCCGTTTAGCAGTTTATGTTACAAACTGCAACAAACATCCATCTGAACTTTCACATTTGTAATTTTAGTAAAATTATTAATGGTTGTTATTTTGTTATTCAACTTGTTATAATTGTAAATCTTTGGTCTGTTTACCTTTAATTAATAAACGTTACTTTTTAATTTACATTGTGTTTTTATTTAATTACCAAGCGGATTTAAGCCTTACTAGCTGGTCCCGTGCGACTTCGTCCGCATGAAATTATAAAAATTTTATTACATTGTTTACATGTGTCAAATTATGAATTGCGAATATCAAAATGACATGACATGATGACAAACCATGGCAACCTTGCTTCCTTGATGTTGGCAGCTACTTTTTCCCACATTAGGATTCTTATCCAAAATATTTACCCCTAAGTTTATTAGCGTGGAAATATACAGCCTAAAGCGTGACGTAAGTGTAGGGCTTTTTATTTTAAAAAGAATTATTCAAAAATATGGTGTAATTGCTGACATCTTAGGCAACAAAGAAGTGTGTGTTCACCCTTTATTATATTAGTATAGAAATATAGATATATATTAAATTTGTGTTCTCTTAACAATGTCCTTTAATTTCAAAGTCTATTTAGAACGAAAATTTTAGTATTTCACCATTTGCCTTATTTACGAGTAACTTAAAATGTTAGGTACTTGAAAATAATACTTTTAAAGGACGTAAAACTTTGTTTTTCTCTCTTTAGAAGTCTTTTGTTTTGCAAGCTTTTGTAAGTGAAAACTTGCTCTTAATTAAGTCTATTGTAAAAACAACAATCTGTGCACTTGAGAAGTGCTTATTTTCCTTACATTTCACTTTTTCAACTTAAATACAGTTATTCCGTAATATTTAACGCGTTTAGCGAATATTTTCTTTTAAAGTTGTATTAAGTAATGATTCTTTCAAATCCTAGATTTTAAGTCTTTTACAAAGATGTTTTGATACGCGTTTTTTCTGCATTTTAATTCGCAGTTAAAAAGTTATCGTTGGAGTTAAAAATTGTAAGTTTTGATGCTTCAAATATCATTACCCACTCTCTTAATGACCACAAATATCATTGCCCACTCTCTTAATGACCACAAATATCATTGCCCACTCTCTTAATGACCACAAATATCATTGCTCACTCTCTTAATGACCACCAATAGGTCTGGATATAGAATGAAAAAACTTATACAAAGCGACAGTTTAGTCCCTTTTCCTTCCCACCCTTTTTCTCATAAGAACTTACAACAATAATAAGGTTGGGAAGGGAACGTGGATTGAAAAAACTTATACGAAGCGACATTCTAATCCCTTTTCCTTCCCACCCTTTATCTCATAAGAACAGGTTGGGAAGAGAACGTGGATTTGACGGTGGAGGAAACGCATATGAAGGGGAAACATCTTATTTATGCGTGTCTCCTCCTCCGCCGATTAAGGGTAGGCAACGCATCCGCTATTGCGAATGTCTATTCGCAGCGCCAGTTTGGCGGATTCAGGTGGCCGCGCAAAGGCCGCCGTTCGGCACCTCATAATGTAATATAAAAAAAGTTAAATAACCATAAAACTGCCCGAACCTGCCTTGTCTTGTTGTTGACAATGTCAAAATTTAACATTTTTTTAATTGCTTTTTTCAGCTATGGTATTTTATACAAGTTTTTTTTTGTGAATGTGATGTGTAGAGAAACAGTGGTGTTGTTATTGTTTTTGGTTTTTGACTGACTTCCCAAAAGAATGAGGTACTCAATTCTGTATGTTATATTTTTATTTTTTTGTGTGTGTTACGGCATAAGTGCTTGCAGGTGGGTCCCATTTTTCGATTGATTTTTGGAGTCAAAGATTACGACGTAGTTAAATAATTTAACTCAAAATCGCACGACGAAATTTGGGGTGTTTTTTTGCTTTCTTTTTTGTTTTTAATTTTTCGCTTCCGTGTGTTACTTAGACCGTGGATGTAGATTTAAAGATCATAGTTTTACGTAAGAATTACTCTAGGTACGTAGTTTTCGGCACTTTCTTGGCATGAATTCAGTTGATTAACATTTTACTGCACCCGGTTCAAGTTTCCTAACTACTTTTTTTTAAATTTTATGCGCAAAAAGCTCTCTGACGTTTTTCAAAATTATTATATAAGTTAACTGTAACTTTGCATATTTATCATTGAATTATTCAATTTAAGCCTTTATTTATTTTTGAAAAAAAAATATCTTACTTTTCAAGAATGTCCTATTTACTTATTTTGGTGAGGCAACCCTACACCATTGTGTTAGGAACATTTTGAGTTTAATTTCTAAGTAGCTTTGGCTCGTACTCGTCTGCGTGGAATTAAAAAAAAAGTAAGTATTAGCATATGATTTTCCAGACTATGCTCTACATCTGTGTCAAATTTTATCTAGTTCCGTTTGGCAGTTTAGGCGGCAAACTTTAACAAATATCCATCCATCTAAGCTTTAGCATTTATAAGAGTAAGACAAATGTTTAAATTCCATTTTTATATGAAATAATATATATGACAAATTGTTCTCAATGTCGATATATCGATAGTTAAACAGAACCGCACTAGCGTAGTGATGTGCATCGCCTTTTTGCATCGTAAGCTGACAATTTATCGACATCCACATTAACTGTGAAATATACTTTAATAGAGTGCCATTTACATCGAGTGCCGTGCTTCGAATGAAAAACGAGCAATTTATGTATTGAAAATTGTTTTAAATTTCGTATTAAATTCTTATATTTATTAATGGAACTCATTCTTAAGAGTAAAAGTTAATGATATTTATAACACGTCTTTATTTCATAAAGTTGAGAACAATAATAAAGTTGATTAATTTTACATTATTTGTGTGTTTGGATTTTTTTATAATATAAGGTGGCAAACGAGTAAGCGGCCAACTGAATCCACCGAAATGGAAAGTGACCGCTGCCCATAAACATCCACAATTCCAGATGCGTTGCCTACCCTTAATTGACAGAGGAGGAGATGCACATAAGAAGGACATTTCCCCTTCTTATGCGTCTCCTCCACCGTCAAGTACACTTTTCTTTCCCATCCTTTCCTCTTAAGAAAAGGATGGAAAGGGAAAGGGACTAAAATTAAGCCTACGGCACCACACTCATCAGACGAAACGGGGAATTGCTTCCACTTCACGCCTGTTTTCTGTGTGGTCGTGGTATTACAGCGGGCGAGCCGGCCAATTCGTGCGAAGATGTTAAAGTGGGTTTTACTACTGTTAAAGATCTAACATAAAATATTTTACTGTAGAACAGCTTTTTTATTACATTTTTATGACAAAACTTATTAAAACATGTCCCAGTTAACAATGTTTTTACGAAGGTAAACATTTACGTCACTTGGGAATCACCGCTTGTGTTGAAAGTTAAAACGTAACGCTTTTCAGTGTACTTAAAAGGTACTCAAATAAAATGTTCAAAGTTACAGAACACTGACCAGTTTATTCAGTACAATATCAACATAAACTATATTAGAAATTACTTGTCTGTGCATATTTTATTAAGTAAGAGCGCTCACTAAAACAAAACTATCGCACAACTGTTTAGACTCGCTTAGATTCCTATAAGCTTATAAGAATGGCGCACACTCGATTTTTAAATGTATCACTAAACAGTTGAATTGGCTGCGAAATAACTGACAATCGATAAATCGCTGAAAATCGCCAAATTAATAAACAATGTACCAAGTAATCTGCTGTAAGGAAAGTTACCTTTGCAAAGATATGACAGTCTAGGACGATTATTTCCTACCCATGATTATTATTTGCTAAAAATGTTATTTGACGCTCACAGTAAAATAGGTGGAAGAATTGCGCTAAAATTAAACACTTTATAGGCTACGTAAATCTCCTAGAAATAGGGACGCGTCGTCGACATATAAGCAGCTATTGCGTGAATCACTTATAGACTAAAATAGCAGATTTGCGTAACCTTATTTACGAACTTCCTTATTCTGTCAGGCGCTGTATTTTCAGTGGGAAGCAAATTTAATTCTTTCATTGAACATCAAATTAATATTTGTCAAACAAAGCAATTCTTCCCTTTTTAATACCATATTTTAATTGCTATTTTCATAGCCTCACTCATCATTTCCATGGCCCAAATTTTTCGTTTCTCGCGATGTACATTTTATTCGTTTTTCAGAGACTTAAATTTTTACCATTTATTCTCTGACCTAATTTTCGTGGCCAAAAATTTTGCGCGATAATTACACGGGAAAGTGGTCATAAAGTCGACGCGCGGTGCTCACAGAATATATAAAAGATACGTACAAAATACGTATTAAAAACGTACGGCTTTACTAAAAAAAAACTTCATTTTTTCAACCATATAAGTTACGTACGTCAACCCTTTAACATATAACTAGAGCCTGAATCATTTTTTTGTAATTACTTTTCGGTCGCGACTTCTTCCGTGTGGGATTAAAAAACAAAAGTAAATAACCAATGTGTTCTTCCAGACTATCCTCTACATCTATGCCTAATTTCAAAGAGGACCGTTCAGGCGTTTGCGCCTTAAACCCTAATAAAAATCCATCTAAATAATCGCATTTAGAGCACGCGCACACATTTGACTTAACTTGGCACAACTGTTTAGTCTCAGATTGATTCCTATGAGCTTATATGGAGGGACACTACTCGATTTTTAGTTGTGCAACTAAACAGTTGAATTGATTGCGAAACAATCGACAATCGCACAACAGTTTAGTCAAAGGTGTGCCTGCTTTTATTAGTTACTAGCTATTCCCGTGCGGATTCATCCGCATCAAATTATTAAAATTCTATTTTATTGTTTACATTTGTCATATTATCAAAATGACATGACATGACAAACCTTAGCAATCTTTCTTTCTTGATGTTGGCAGCATCTTATGGTCTCTTTCCCACTTTAGGGTTTTTATTCAAAATATTTAGCCCCTAAATTTAATGG